TCTTAAACCTGAGTTGGAGATGCCTAATATATTAGGTCATCAAGAAAGTCATGTCTTTTTTTTTTTTTTTAATGGAAAATGCACCATGACTTTCCCAGTGACCCTGTATATTCTTGGCTGATTATAGAGAAACTGTGCTTAGATGTTTAGAACTTTTTCTACTAGGTGTTCAGCTGCCCGTGAGCTGCAGTTGCATCGAGGCCAGTGCAGTACTTAGTCATTTCCAGGCTTTTAGATCTAGCCCTAGTTCTTTGTGTAGTAGACTGTGATGATTTGTAAGAAGAAAATAAGTTGAACTCTGAGTTTCCAGTAAAAATTCTCCACTTAAACTAAAACATATTTTGGCCACGTTTGCTTGTTTTTTAATAGTTTTATTTCTGTAGTCTGATGCAGGCTGGGAAGAATACTATGATTACATCTTTCCAGAAGATGCTGCCAACCAACCTAACCTCAAACTCTTGGCCATGGCTAAACTTTGGAAGAAACAGCAACAGGAAAAGGAGGCTGCTGAGCAAGATCCAGATAAGGACACTGATGAGACTGAATCCTGATCGTTTTTTCATATGGATAAATGTTTTATTTTTATAAATTAATAGTTTGGAACTCTTGTGACTTCTGGAAGTTTTTTTATATATTTCATCAGTAAGGAATTGATTGAAATTTTTAACATTTTTTTTTTAATTACTTCTAAAATGCTCTTGGGTTTGGTAGGGGTGGGGAACTTCAAGTCAAAGAATTTTTAATTGCTGGATTTCTTTATCTGACTGAGTCCAAACTTTTCTAATGCTGTCCATTTGGTGCATCAGGAAATGTAATTAAGGTACGGCTTAGTGTCTGTCTTAGGTGGACTTAGAGACTTTCAGTGTGCTTTCTTAGTTTTCAGGTTACATTCTGTTCAGGAGTAGTTTCCTCATGCTTGTTGTCTTCCTTTGGGTATTTTATATATTCATCTGAAATCTGTAACTTTCCATGTCTTCAGAGTCACACATACTTGATTCAATTCCCAGCTCTGCCACTTTGTGGCTACATAACTTAAGCTTTATTTTCAGTTTCCTCACATATAAAATGGGCTAATGCTTTCAGTATTATATTAGAAAAGGAATTAGCCTGGTACATACTAAGTACTTAATAAAGTATTTGTTCCCATCCACCTTAACTATGTTTATTCTTTGTAGAATTGAATATACTTGAATTTAATCTAAAGAGTCTTACCTTCTTGATAGTGTTTCTATTTATAGTTTGGAGGGATGGCCATGCTGTAGTCCCTTTTCCTCCATTCTTCTCTCAGGATCTTGGGCGCACATGCACATGCCCAGCATGTTTTTGTTTTGTTTTGGAGAGGTTTTTTGCTGTAGGGAACGTGCGCTGGCCAGAAAGACAGAGACAGACAGAGAGAGAAAAATCAAGAAATCACCCCCCAGTGGAGGTGGCCATGCCACAATCCCTTCTTCTCCATTCTTCTCTCAGGATCTTGGGCATGCACACACACACGCCCAGCATGAGTTTAAGCCACCGGGTCCGGGACTCGAACCATGGTTGACTACATGGGAGTCCAATGACATAGCCATTACGCCAACTGCTGGTCCCCCCCAGCATGTTTTTCAAGCTGCTGGGTCATCCTCAAACCATGTCGTTGGTCATGTGTGATCCAGTTGCCTTAGCCACTACACCACTGGTTGGCCTGATAGTGCTTTTAAAAACATTATTTGGGGGACCAGGAGGTGGCATGGTGGTTAAAGCACTGGACACTCCCACATGGCCAACCACGGTTCAAGTCCTGGACCTGGTGGCTTGCTTTCTCACTTTCCTACTACCTCCCTTCCTCCCTCCCTCCCTCTCTCTCTTCTCAAATTAAAATGAATAATTAAAAATTAAATAATTATTTAAAAAATTATTTGGAAAATAGTTTACAGTGACCATATTAGCAAGGTGTACCCCAAACTAGTTGAGCCTTTAATAGCTTGTTTACACGTGTGCTATGAAAAATGCCCCATGTTCAAGTTTTAGAAACCCTAAATTAAGGCTTAAATCTTGTTGTGATTCCCTATAACTTAGGCTTCTTAGAGTCTTTGATAGATTGACGCTGTAAGACTCCAGTAGTGATGCCGTCCTATTTTTCCCCAAACTCAGTGGACAGTGGAGTTACTATCTAGAGTACCAGTAAACACCTCTCAGTATGCTACAGTAGAGTGTCTGCTGTAACACATAACACATTAGATCTACCCTTGGTTTAGACCATATGTCAAAAACACCTGTAAGCTATGGGACAGCCAGTGATGTGGTTAAGGCAACTGGATCCATCTGACTGACTTCATAGTTCCAATCCCAGACCCAGTGGCTTGAAAAACATGCTGGGCACATGTGCATGCATGCCCAAAATCCAAAGAGAATGGAGAAGGGATGACATGGCCTTCTCTCCAGGGGGTAGTATCTCTCTCTCTCCATCTCTGGCACATGACCATACCCTATAGCAAAAACTTAACTTTAAAACAAAACCACCACCACCTAAGCTAGAAGCACCTGGGAAAGGTCCTGGATTTACATCCTGGATCCTCTCTGTACATGCCAGAAGCACAGGAAGGCCCAATTGGGGATCCGAGCTAGTTGAGACTGGGGGCAGATTGCCCCATAAAGACCCTGTAAGGGCTGTCTGCCTCTCTCTTAAAGACAAAAAAAAAAAGTAACAGTATGCTAAGTAATGAAACATAAAGCAACACAGGACTGCTGATAGTTTGCTCATATTCTCAACAAGAAATACTGCGTGAACTGATTGATTAGGGATTACTTCCTTTAGCCTGGCCTGTATTTGGCAACCTTTTTTTTCTTGCTTTTAATCATTGCCCAAGGGCTGGAACTTCATGTTTGAAACTTTTTCTCTTCTAAGGATCATTACAGAGCAGATTTATTATTAAATGTACAAATGTATTATTGACCCAAAGGAATAAAAGCTACTCAGTTCTATCTTGAAAATAAGATATGATGCTTGAGGGCAGAAACAAAGACTATTAGAGAAGGCAGTCTATTTTCACTCACTGCTGAGTCACTGGCCCGGTGTCAGCCGCTGGCATACCACATCAGCCGACTTGGGTAGTAAGGTCTGCTGGGCAGTGAGGAAGAGAATTTGTGATTTTAATATCCTTCGGTTAAATCCAAAGAGTCAAGGGGTGAGGTGAAAACTGGTCAAGATGCTAGTGTACGTGCTAATATAATTAGTCTTCCAGGGTTACTTTTTGTTTATATTCCAGGGATGCATAAGGAAAAAGTTGGTGATCATGTCCTAATGACTTGTCTAGTTGTAACAAGGATGTGTAAAAGGCTTGAAGGGAGAACGTACAGGATTGATTTCTTTCCCGCCCTCCACTCCACCAGTCAGTCCTTTCAAATATACACGCTTGGCTCCGCCATGGTGATGCAGATGGCGTTGCTGCTTGGGAGGCTGTGAGCTGTGAGGGAGGCCTACCTAGGTTCGGTTCCAGGCCAAACTGAACATACCAGGTATGATTGCCCGAGCCTGCAGTCCTAGCTCATTGAGAGGCTGGGACAGAAATGTTGAGAGGTTGTGAGACCCTGTCACGAATACCTTTCTGTGTCTCTCCCACTCATAAAAGAGAGGAGGGAGTTTTTAAATCATTGCTTGTGGATTTTTCTTCAGTTACTCTTACTCACTGAATTACTTTCAAGTATTACAGGTGATGAAAGGTGACATGATCTAGTCATATGGCCTTTCTTTAGGAATTAGATTCTGTTCCCTACTTTTTAAAATATCCACATCTTTTTATACTTAGAAAGGCAGAAACAAGCCAAGTATCACTCTGAGAAGCTAAAGATCCAAGGCTAACAGTGAGAAAAGTAACGGGGGTGGGGGTAACAGGGGTGGGGGGGAGGCAACAGGTGCCATGGTGATTAAGACACTTGACACTCCACATGGTCAACCATGGTCCGAGTCCTGGACCTGGTAGCTTGCTTTCTCATCCCTAACCCCCACCCCCGGCCTCTGTGTTCTGTCAAAATTCAAATTAAATGAATGGGTAAATAAAATTAAATAATTCTTAAAAAAAAAAAAATTGGGAAAAATTTAAAAAGCAGTAAGGAGGAAGCTCAGGTATGCTGGGCCAGGATTGTTTCATGTGTGCATTTAAGAAACAGTTTACAGGGGCCAGCAGGTGGCGCGGTGGTTGAGGCACTAGACTTCCCACATGGCCAACTACGGTTCAAGTCCAGGACCTGGCAGCTTGCTTTTTCACTCTGCCTCTCTCTCTCTGGCAAATTCATGTGAAAAATAATAAGTAATTCTTTACATAAAAAAAAAAAAAAACACTTTACAGGCCCAAGTTTAAAAACAACAGCAAAATAAAAAACAGACCTATTACTCGCCATGACTAATATGTAAGTGCTTATAATGGAATAAATTGCTTCCCTACATTAAAAAGGAAATAATTTATAGGGTCCAGCAGGTGGCATGGTGGTAAAAGGTCTCCCACATGAACGACTTGAGGTTCGAGTCCTGGACCCGTTGGCTTGAGAATCACACCAGGCATGTATGTGCATGCTTGCCCAAAATCGCGAGGAGAATGGAGAAGGGACTGTAGAATTATCCCCCTAAGGGATTTCTTTCTTTCTTTCCCTCTCTGTCTCACACATGTCCTATGGCAAAAACCTAACAACAACAAAAGAACTTTATTTATAAATAAAAATCTTAATTACCAGAAATGATGTATCAGAGCCTAGCGGTGATACAAGTGGGAGGGCGCTGCTGGGTGGCTGAGACCCATGGGTTCCCGCCCAGCTAATCAGGCTGGGTGTGGTGCTGCGGGCCTGTGGTCCTAGCTGGCTGAGAGGCTGGGACAGGATATCCATACATGGTGGTGAGACCCTGTCGAGAATACCTGTCTCCCTCCACCTCACACATTATCTCTCTGTTCAGTACAAATCAAAGTAAGTCAATGTCTCAAATTCATAATCCTGATCTAGTTTTATAAATGAGCAACAAACTTTCAGAAAACATTCAGAGTCAACAATGTGTTTATTATACATTTTAGATTTATACATTTCATATATGCTTTTAAAGCTTCAATTATTGGTTCAATACAAAATAAAATATATATATGTATATATATATATTTATAGTATGCAGCAGTGGTTCTCAGGCACAGAATTTAGGAGGTTGGGGCAAGTCCTCTCCGTAGCGCTTAGTGAGTATGCTGAGCCATGACAGTAGAACGCTGACTTCCACCTAGCAGCGTCTTGACTGAATTTTATTACAGTGCAGCTTTCGCAGGTAGGACGTTGTTAACTGGAAACAATGAGACTTAAAATTTATAACCTATACTTTTAGGTTTTAAATGATGACTTTTCTCCTAACGAGCTCCAAGATCATCCAGTGAAAAAAATACTGTCCATAAAATATCCGGAGCATCTGCCTAAGAACCACTGCCCATGGTTATTCAATGTCCTCAGGCCTCACCGGGTGAGGTAATGGTATGATGGATTTCTTCTCAGTGTCCCTGGAAAGTGCTTTCCTCATGTCTGTTAGGAAGCAAAGTTCAGTGTAAACACCCAAATAATCAAAACATTTTATATCAAATTTAAAGTGCCTAGGTAAAGTTCCCATAATCGGTTTGTCTTGTCTCCCCCACACCAGATCATAAGAGAACGTATTTATAAATTTATTAATAAATATGTGTACTTCAGATTCCCAACTTTAAGTATACCAGATGTTAACAAAACTACCCAGATTCAGATCATACAAATGCTCTTACTAAAATAACATGCTTATAACATGCTTGTAACATAATAAAATGGTAGCTTACCAAAATTAGCCATTGATTATTGGTATAATTACTAATGAGCTTGTAAAGGCAGGTTACAAACTCAGTAGCCTGAATTAAATATTAGGAGATTAAAAATATTAAGGTCAAATATGATCTTTTTAGATTTATCAAAACATCTGAATATCTCAGTCTACAGACTGGCTGTCAATATTCCAGCTTCCCCTTGGGGACACTGCCATACAAGGGCACATACCGTAGGCGTCCTCATCAGGCTCTCCATTGCTGGCTGAGTAGTACTCTATGACCGTCCTGTACACACTGTAGCCCAGCTGTTTGTACATGTTGACTGCAACCTGGTTGGACACTCTCACAAAGAGATCAACAAAAAATCCACCCTTCCTTTTGGCCAAAAAAAAAAGAAAAGACAATGTCAGAATGTTAGGAACTTCGGAAAGTAAATACTTAGTTTTAGACACCGCCACCTGGTTTCACTCTTGTCTGACAGAATGTTGGCAACAGACCCTTTCAGCTGATCCCATCACAACACATTTTTACTACTTAATATTTGTGATGTTATTTTTCCGTACAAAAAGATAACTTTGTGTTTTTATGCCAGTACTTCAAAAGCTACAATATGTTTTTCCTTACAAGAGAAACTCAAAAGTGTTTGTTTTTTACAATCCTGCCTGTTTTTAAAAAAAATTCATAGTAACTGATATGGTCACTTTACACATTAGGCACAGGATAAGACGTTTTCACCCATGTGTACAGGTGGGAGACTGAAGCAAGCACCCCATGTGCCCATGGCACAGGAGTAGCTACAGGACACTAGTTGTAGCCCTGAAGTCCTCAGTCCCTGTGGTCCATAGCATCCCCCCACTCACCCAGAGGTCTTCATGTCAACCCCCAGGACCAGACCACCATCGCTTTCCTTTCTGATGTAGATCTACCAACTGGTATATTTCATATCTTCTGTGGATGAACTTCCTATCAATGGAATTGTACTTTATGTTCACAATTGCCTCAGTCAGTACTGCGAGAGCCACGTCATCCAGTCTTACTGATATGCATTATCTGCTTTTATTATCGGTGACCATGCTATTATGGGGCCAGTCAGGTGACATAGTGGTTAAGGTGGCTGGATTCCACCTGGCATACCACGTGGTTCAGGTCCCAGATCTGGCAGCTTGAAAGATATGCATGGGGTGGGAAGGACCAGCAGATGGGGTAGCAGTTATATCACTGGACTCACACATGGCTAACCAGTTTTGAGTCCTGAACCTGGTGGCTTTAAACATGCTGAGCACGTGTGTGTGCGTACCCAAGATCCCAGGAAGAGGACAGAGAGGGATTGTGGCATTGCCATCCCCTGGGGGAATGATTTCTTGCTGTCTATTTCTCTCTGCCAAGTGCCCTATAGCAGAAATCTTTAAAAAACAACACTGGGTGCATGTGTGCACAAAATCTGAAGAGAATGGAGGAAAAGGGGTAATGGAGTGGTCATCCCCCCATGGAGTGCTTTCTCTCTCACTCTCCAATTCTTTCTCTATGGCAAGCACATGCTCCCATAGCCAATTTTTTTTTTTTTTTAAAAAGGAATGCTATAAATACTTCTGTCAAGTGTCCCATGATAATAATAGCTAACATCTACAGCTAGGAGTGTCATTGCCGTGTCACAGAGTCATGTACACCTCTTCACTAGAGAATGTCGCATTGTTTTCTAACCTACATGTACAACTTATGCTCCCACAGAAGTGGGTAAGACTCCATTCCCACAGTAGCAAGGTGTGGTGCATCTGATGTTTATATTTTTGCCGGCTTTATGGTGGTATCTCTGTGTGATGTGAGTTTACACTTCTGATTACTGATGAGGCTGAATATATTAGTGTATGCTAGCCAGTATAGCACTTACTGGACTTTTACAGAGTTTTTCCTCCAGCCATAGTTCTGTGTTCTGGATATTCAACACTGTATAATGCTTTTCAAGTATATTTTTCCATTGTGTAGTTTGTCATTATCCCTATGATACGGTTTTTTTTAGAGGTTTTCGCTATAGAGCACGTGCACTCACCAGAAAGATGACCACAATTACATTCATCTTGGTTAATTATCAGTTTTACAATATACTCTAGCCTACGGAGGTAATTTATCCCTCCACTCAGGAAGGCCACTTTAATGTTCCCAATAAAGCTTTATTAACACCAGAGAGGTCTTACATAGCTTTTATTAGATTTTTAAGTGCTTTGGTGTTTTTTTTGGAGTCATTGCAGATATTTTCCCTAAATTTTACTGTTTGTATATGTAGAAATACAATATAATACAATCAGAAATAGTTTTTTTTTTTAATGACATTTTTTTGCTATAGGGTGGATGGACTCACCAGAGAGACAGAGAGATAGAAAGTGAGAAATCACCCCCCCAGGGGGGATGGCCATATCACAGTCCCTTCTCTTCCATTCTCCTCTCAAGATTTTGGGCATGCATGCACATGCGCCCAGCATGAACTTTAAGCCTCTGGGTCTGGGACTCAAATTGTAGTTAGCCATGTAGGAGTCCAGCAATGTAACTATTATGTCACCTGCTGCTCCCACACAGCTGATTTTCTTTTTAAATTATTTATTTATTGGGGCCAGCAGGTGGCATGGTGGCTAAGGACGCTGGACTCTCAAATGGCCAACCATCGTTCAAATCCTGGGCCTGGCGGCTTGCTTCTTACTTTCTCTCTCTGTCCCTCTCTGATCAAATTAAAAATAAATAATTAAAGTTAAATAAAATAATATTTTTTAAAATTATTCATTATTTTCCAATTTGATCAGAGAGAGGAGGAAAGTGAGAAAGCAAGGTCCAGAACTTGAACCAAGTCAACCATGTGGGAGTCTAGCGCCTTTAACCACGACACCTGCTGGCCCTAATACAACTCATTTGTATACTGATTTTCTATTCAACAACTTTGGCTAACTTATTAATTCTAAACATTTATTTGTAGATTCTTGTAGTGCTTCTATTTCGGACAATCATATATGCAAAGTAGCAGTTTTGTTTCTTCTCAATCATATCTTATTTTTCTTGCTTTTTTATGCTATTTAGTAAATCACTGAAGAGGAGCTGACTGTAGATGTCTTCATTTTATACCTGATTTTAAAGGGAAAGCAGCATGTCACCATTAACTACTTTTATAATAAATTTTTGGTGGATACATTCTTTTTTAGATTAAGGAAAATTTCTATTCTTAATTGCCAACAGTTTTTGTTTGAATCAAGAATGAATATTTGATTTTATAAAGTTTACTGCATTTACAGAAATAACAATTGTTCTTTTTTATAACTGACTCGCTCCTGATGTTTTGTTTTGCCAGAGGTGTTTGCACTCCTGAGAGAGAGAGGAGAAAGCACCACCACACCACCCCCCAACACACAATGAAGTATGGTCATGCCTCAATCTCTTCTCCATCTCTATAAAACATATTGTAATTTTGACATTAGAAGTCATTATTTCAGCAGCATGTCACCATTAACTACTTTTATAATAAATTTTTGGTGGATACATTCTTTTTTAGATTAAGGAAAATTTCTATTCTTAATTGCCAACAGTTTTTGTTTGAATCGAGAATGAATATTTGATTTTATAAAGTTTACTGCATTTACAGAAATAACAATTGTTCTTTTTTATAACTGACTCGCTCCTGATGTTTTGTTTTGCCAGAGGTGTTTGCACTCCTGAGAGAGAGGAGAAAGCACCACCACACCACCCCCCCAACACACAATGAAGTATGGTCATGCCTCAATCTCTTCTCCATCTCTATAAAACATATTGTAATTTTGACATTAGAAGTCATTATTTCTTAAATGCTGGTAAGGTTTGCCAAAGAAGCCATAGCTTTATTTGTGTTAAGATGTGTGGTTACATAAAAATTCTTTATGGCAACTTGTTTTTTTGTTTTTCTTACAGAGATTTCTGCTATAGGGTGCCTGTGCTCGCCATAGACACAGAGAGACAGAAAGCAAGAAGTCACCCAGTGGGATAGGGGGAGGCCACACAGCTATGCCTTCTCCATTCTCCTCTTGGGATTTTGGGCATGCACACACACGCACCCACTGTGAGTTTTAAACCACCAGGTCCAAGACTAGAACTGCAGTTGACTACGTGGGAGTCCAGCGACATAACCATTATACCATCCGCTGGTCCCTGAAGCAAACTGTTTTTATACTGCCCTCAAGCTAAGTATGGTTTTTATAATATTGAACATTGATAAATAAATAAATAATGCAACAGATTTTAAGTAGCCTACAAAGCCTCAATATTTACTCTCTAGCTCAGAAAAAGATTGCTGACCCTGTTCTAAACCCTTACCCTATTCTGTCTAATCATTCTATCAACTGGAAAGATGCATGTTCAGATCTCCTATTCCGATAATAATTTGTCTACTTCACTACAGTTTTGTTAAATTTTGTATTTTTACTTTTAAGTCTATGGCTCTGGGTACAATTTTTTTAAAAGAATTACTTATTTAATTTTATTTATTATTTTTTAATTGACCAGAGAGAGAGGCCACCAGGTCCAGAACTCAAACTGTAGTTGGCCATGTGTTAGTCCAGAACCTTAAACCACCACGCCACCTGCCAGCCCCACTACAGAGAATTTTTCATTTTTACATCTTGATAGATTAAATCTTTTATCAATATGCAGTGACCCTTTCTTACTCTGGTAGTAATTATTCAGCTCTAATGCAACTATTACAATAAGTAAACCAACTTTGTTTTTGTAAGAACATGCAGTGGTAATTTTAAAAATTTCTTTGCTTTTAATCTTTCTGTATCTTTAATCTTTACATGTATTTTCTAAAAATAGAATATAGTCCTTATAGCCTTTGTCTTTTAACTGGAGTCATTAGTTTATTAACATTTATTGCTGTAATCGGTGATAATACTTAGATGCATAGCTACCAACATTATTTCTTGCTTTTTGTTTTGCCAGCCTGGATTCTTTTTTCTCTTCTTTGGAATTTTTTAAAAATAAAATTTATTCATTTTTTCCCTCCTTATTTGAAAATAATGCATTGTTTTTATTTTAATGTCTATAGTTAGAAATATGTATATATGGGGACCAGCAGTTAGCGTAATGGCTATGTCACTGAACTCCCATGTTGTCGGCTGCGGTTCAAGTCCTGGACCCAGTGGTTTAAACTCACGCTGGGCGCGTGTGTGTGCATGCCCAAGATCCCGAGAGGAGAATGGAGGAGGAGAGAATGGAGAAGGAACTGCAGTGTGGCCATCCCCCCCGGGGGGTGATTTCTCGCTTTCTGTCTCTGTGGCGAGTGCACATGCCCTATAGCAAAAACCTCTCCAAATTATAATAAATTTTTGGTGGATACATTCTTTTTTAGATTAAGGAAAATTTCTATTCTTAATTGCCAACAGTTTTTGTTTGAATCGAGAATGAATATTTGATTTTATAAAGTTTACTGCATTTACAGAAATAACAATTGTTCTTTTTTATAACTGACTCGCTCCTGATGTTTTGTTTTGCCAGAGGTGTTTGCACTCCTGCGAGCGAGAGGAGAAAGCACCACCACACCACCCCCCAACACACAATGAAGTATGGTCATGCCTCAATCTCTTCTCCATCTCTATAAAACATATTGTAATTTTGACATTAGAAGTCATTATTTCAGCAGCATGTCACCATTAACTACTTTTATAATAAATTTTTGGTGGATACATTCTTTTTTAGATTAAGGAAAATTTCTATTCTTAATTGCCAACAGTTTTTGTTTAAATCAAGAATGAATATTTGATTTTATAAAGTTTACTGCATTTACAGAAATAACAATTGTTCTTTTTTATAACTGACTCGCTCCTGATGTTTTGTTTTGCCAGAGGTGTTTGCACTCCTGAGAGAGAGGAGAAAGCACCACCACACCACCCCCCCAACACACAATGAAGTATGGTCATGCCTCAATCTCTTCTCCATCTCTATAAAACATATTGTAATTTTGACATTAGAAGTCATTATTTCTTAAATGCTGGTAAGGTTTGCCAAAGAAGCCATAGCTTTATTTGTGTTAAGATGTGTGGTTACATAAAAATTCTTTATGGCAACTTGTTTTTTTGTTTTTCTTACAGAGATTTCTGCTATAGGGTGCCTGTGCTCGCCATAGACACAGAGAGACAGAAAGCAAGAAGTCACCCAGTGGGATAGGGGGAGGCCACACAGCTATGCCTTCTCCATTCTCCTCTTGGGATTTTGGGCATGCACACACACACACCCACTGTGAGTTTTAAACCACCAGGTCCAAGACTAGAACTGCAGTTGACTACGTGGGAGTCCAGCGACATAACCATTATACCATCCGCTGGTCCCTGAAGCAAACTGTTTTTATACTGCCCTCAAGCTAAGTATGGTTTTTATAATATTGAACATTGATAAATAAATAAATAATGCAACAGATTTTAAGTAGCCTACAAAGCCTCAATATTTACTCTCTAGCTCAGAAAAAGATTGCTGACCCTGTTCTAAACCCTTACCCTATTCTGTCTAATCATTCTATCAACTGGAAAGATGCATGTTCAGATCTCCTATTCCGATAATAATTTGTCTACTTCACTACAGTTTTGTTAAATTTTGTATTTTTACTTTTAAGTCTATGGCTCTGGGTACAATTTTTTTAAAAGAATTACTTATTTAATTTTATTTATTATTTTTTAATTGACCAGAGAGAGAGGCCACCAGGTCCAGAACTCAAACTGTAGTTGGCCATGTGTTAGTCCAGAACCTTAAACCACCACGCCACCTGCCAGCCCCACTACAGAGAATTTTTCATTTTTACATCTTGATAGATTAAATCTTTTATCAATATGCAGTGACCCTTTCTTACTCTGGTAGTAATTATTCAGCTCTAATGCAACTATTACAATAAGTAAACCAACTTTGTTTTTGTAAGAACATGCAGTGGTAATTTTAAAAATTTCTTTGCTTTTAATCTTTCTGTATCTTTAATCTTTACATGTATTTTCTAAAAATAGAATATAGTCCTTATAGCCTTTGTCTTTTAACTGGAGTCATTAGTTTATTAACATTTATTGCTGTAATCGGTGATAATACTTAGATGCATAGCTACCAACATTATTTCTTGCTTTTTGTTTTGCCAGCCTGGATTCTTTTTTCTCTTCTTTGGAATTTTTTAAAAATAAAATTTATTCATTTTTTCCCTCCTTATTTGAAAATAATGCATTGTTTTTATTTTAATGTCTATAGTTAGAAATATGTATATATGGGGACCAGCAGTTAGCGTAATGGCTATGTCACTGAACTCCCATGTTGTCGGCTGCGGTTCAAGTCCTGGACCCAGTGGTTTAAACTCACGCTGGGCGCGTGTGTGTGCATGCCCAAGATCCCGAGAGGAGAATGGAGGAGGAGAGAATGGAGAAGGAACTGCAGTGTGGCCATCCCCCCCGGGGGGTGATTTCTCGCTTTCTGTCTCTGTGGCGAGTGCACATGCCCTATAGCAAAAACCTCTCCAAAAAAAAAAAGAAAACGTATATATGTATGTGTGATACACACATACATACAAATAAAGATTACTTGTATCTTAGCAACTTTTTTAAGAATTATTTTATTTAACTTTAATTATTTACTTATTTATTTTAATTTGACCAGAATGAGACAGAACAAGAGAGGAAGAGTGAGAAAGCAAGCTGCTGGGTCAGAGACTATAACTGCGGCCAGTCATGGGGGAGTCGGGAGTCCAGTGCCCTTAACCACCATACCACCTGCCGGCTGCTATCTTGGCAACTATTCTAAAATAATGGAGGTTTAGAAACTTAGAAGGGGGGGAGCTTAGTGATTATTCTGCTCAGAGAAGGACACATTCCCTAACTCCGTCTACTATTCAATAATGCCAAATACTTTTTCCCACTCAGATATGCCATTAATTATGCGTATTAACTAAAATATTGCTAAAATTTTCTCCCCTTCCTTGCTCAGTATAGGGAGAATTTTTAAAAGTCCCGAGGATTAAAGTTGACTTCCTTTTCACCTAAAACTGTTTCCTCTCATGCAGTAACAGGTGCACACATCTTATTAATTGTAACTGTAGTTATTTAAGAATGAAAAAAAAATATTTCTTTCCACTTATTTATGTTTTTCTAATGGCTTCTATGTGTTATACCATAAATACTTATTATGGTGTAAGAGCATAACTTATGACTGTTTTCTTTTGGCATAGGGGAAATTTACTGAAATGCCTGGGCAGTGTGGACAAGGACTCTGGGGAGAGCCACAGGGCCAGGCACACAAGGAGCCTCGAGAGCTTGTCTCTGATTCTGGCAGTTACCGAGCGTGTAGTCCTGTCAGGCCACTCACCCTTTATTTTTCCTTAATTTTTCTCAATGGCAAAATAGGAACAATAATACCACTCTGACTGCGTGACAGCACAGCCGTAAGGACTATGGGTGCTGGCAGTGAAAGCCCTGCAAGCTGTAAAGCATGGCAGTTACTCAGCATGGGGGGGGGGGGGGGGGGAAGAATCTTACTAAATGTTCACCAAAGAAAAATAAAAAGTATTCATAAATCACTGTATTTGAAGAACAGGACCTTACCTTTCTGAAATCTCCTCTAATAATTCCATAAGTTTAGCAGCCAAACCAAGTCGTCGAAATTCTGGGGCAACAGAAAGAGCTGTGACATGCCCGTGCCATTCTTCCCTAGCCACCGAGCCTTCGGCTTTGCCCATGACTGCCAACAAAAATTGCATTTGGGAATTAGATACGCTGCCTTACACATAAAGACAGAACTACCATTTGGTATAGCTTTATTATAAAGGAAACTAAGCAGAAATTTTCAAGCATTACTTGAGGTTATCCAGCTAATGGTTAGTGCTTTTATTTGAAAGTTAAAAGTTACTTACTAATATAATGCTATTGTACATCTAGTTCTAGAATCACCATTAGAAAAAGTATTTTAAAAAGACCAACATAGTAAAAAACACAACTAATTTGGAATGAAGAACCAGAGTTTGTATTTTTTCAAATATCTGCATTTCACATAGGTATGTGTAATGTGACTCTGTGTGTACATACAACAGACAATTCATAGCTCAAGTGTTTTTGGTAATGCTGCCAGTCAGTGATGAAGCTATGATCCCTGCACTGCGCACCAATGAGCCATAGGACAGTTCACATACAGATCAGGAGATCATTAAGACTGAGCCGTGCCTTTCTGGCTTCCTGCTGTGACTCCTGGGCCTCACACAGTACCTAAGACACGGGAGACTCCAGCGAGCTGTTGAACTGTTATAATATTATAGGCATTATGATTATACTTCCAGTTCTATAGTCTAAAACCTATAGATGGACTCTGACTACAATGGTTTGACATGGTGAGTGTATCAGATGTAACAGTAAGTCAAGGAGCATCTGTATATTAAAATATTAGCTACCTGCCAAAAAAAGTACCAGTGGTATTATACTTACTATAACCCATTAATTCTCCACCCGGTGCCTCTGCAACGATGAAATACTCAGGCCAGTGGGCGAGGTACTGCAAGTAAAATGGAATCCCATACTAGAATCCTGTTAAGGAGTATGAAAGCAATGAACAGGAAAAGTTCTTCATAAAGAGAGATTGTGACAAAAATTTTTTAAAAGTATATTGTTGGGCCAACCAGTGTTGCAGTGGTTAAGATGGCCAAATCCCTTATGACTGATTGTGTGGTTCAAGTCTTGGACCTGGCAGCTTAAAAGGCACACTGGGCACATTTGTGTGCACGCCCAAAATCCCAAGAAGAGAATGAAGGAGGAATGAAGATGGCCATCCCCTCAAGGAGATGCTTTCTCTCTCTTTCCAGTGAGCACATGCACCTTACAGCACTTGACACTTTAAGTCCTTCCAAAGGAAAATTAACATTTATCCAAGGTTTTTCCTCTGCTAATTTGAACTCTCAATTTCTAATAATGCAGATAAAAGCTAACTTAAAGAATCAAGTACATTAAAACTGAATGCCTGGGGACCAGCAGGTGGTGTGATGGTTAAGGTGCTGGACATTCCCACATGGCTGACCATGGTTCAAGTCCCTGGACCTGGCAGCTTGCTTTCTCACTTTACCTCTCTCTCTCTGGGCAAATTAAAAATAAGCGAATGAATAAATACAATTAATAAATAATTTTTTTTAATAAAAAGACTGAATGCCGGAATAATTTGTTCATTACTTGCCATTTCAACCCTGGTGTGGGCTTACTAACATATACTCATTCCTATAGTTTTTCTTAGTGTTCTCTTTCTGATGCAGTTTTATGAGAAGACAGTCAATCATATGTTGAAAAAAATTCCTGGAAAACCTGTTCAGTGTTAAATTATTCAAAATCTCTTGAGTGACAGTCTTCATTTTGAGTACTCCTCAAATAGAACCCGTAACAAGGGAGGCAAGCCAGTTCTCCTGCCACCCATCAACTGCCACGACCCAACAGGTTCTTTTCAAGTATAGGCTTACTTGGATTATGAGACTCTTCCTCTAAATTTTAAATGTCACTAGAAGCACACCATTTAAGTAGATCTACATGCAATCTAATATTTTCCCTTATTCAGTGAAAATTTTTCTGTCCTTCGAATTCTCTAAAAGCATTGTTTTGTTTTGGTTTTTTTTTTTTTTTGAGAGGTTTTATTTATTTATTTTTTTTTGCTATAGGGTGCATGCACTTGCCAGACAGAGACAGAGACAGAAAGTGAGAAATCACCCCTAGGGGGGGATGGCCACGCTGCAATCCCTTCTCCATTCTCCTCTTGGAATCTTGGGCACGCACGCACATGCGCCCGGTTTGAGTTTTAAGCCACCGGGTCCGGGACATGAACTGTGGTCAACTACATGGGAGTCCAGTGACATAGCCATTATGCTAACTGCTGGTCCCTAAAAACACTGTTTTGTGTGTGGTTTTTTTATTGAGAGAGATTTTTTTGCTATAGGGCACAAGTGCTCACCAGAGAGGCAGAGAGAGACAGAAATAAGAGATCACCCCTCCGGGGGAATAGCCATGCTACAATCCTCTCTCCTCTGTTTTCCCCTCGGGACCTTGGGCATGTATAAACATGTGCCCAGCATAAGGTTAATTTTTCTTTCTTTTTTTTTTTTTTTAAGAATTATTTTATTTAACTTTATTTCTTTTAATTTGACCAGAGAGGGACAGAGAAAGAAAGTGAGAAAGCAAGCCGCTAGGTCCAGGACTCAAACTGTGATAGGCCATGTGGGAGTCCAGCACCCTTAACCACCATGCCACTTGCTGGCTTCAACAACTGGCTTGAGTTGTAAGCCCCCAGGTCTGGGACAAGAACCACAGTCAATATGTAGGAGTCCAGTGATATAACCATTACACCATCTGCTGGTCCACCCCAAGTAACTTTTTTAATTCTTCAAAAGCTTTTTGGTTTAAAAAAAAAAAGGAGATATTGTTATTCATAATGTGAAAAAGACAAATGAAAATTGTAGAGATTTTCCCACTCAGCTTTGTTTCTGTTAGGTCGTCAGGAAAGTCACGATGTATTTTTCTGTTTTTTCTATACAAGAATGCATCACAACTTTCCTGACAACCCACTAATTTAGTCCTACTGCTGCCTGTACCAACAGTTCATTATTACTGCTGTGTAATACTGCCTTGTGTGAAGACACAACTGAAAGACCGTTCTGAGCATGGACATTCGGGTCACTCTCAATTTCTCAAAACAACCTTTTAGAATCCTTCATAAGTACAGCTTAATTTACTAAATATCTCCCTGTTGTGTATGGATGTTATTCTAACTTTTCATTATTATAATCCTATGGCAGTAAATAATTTTTGTGATGTAACTTAGGGGTTAGCACACTTTTTCTGCAAAGGGCCAGACTGTAAATATGCTTGGCGGTGTGGACAACAGGGTCTCTCGCAGCTACTCAAACTGTGAAAGCCACAGATAATATATAATCAGCATGAATATGTCCCAATAAAAATCTTGATTACAAAGACAGGCAGTGGGGGACCAGCAGATGGTGTAATGGTTACATCATTGGACTCCCACATAGTCGATTTCAATTTAAGTCCCAGATCTGGCAGCTTAAAACTCAATGCCAGGCACATATATGTTCGTGCCCAAGATCCTGATGGAGGATGGAGGAGAAGGGATTGCAACGAGTCACCCACCCTCCCCCCCCGCAGGGGGCGATTTTTCGTTTTCTGTCTCACTGGCAAGGCTATGCACCCTATAGCAAAAATCTCTTTAAAGAAAAAAAAAAAAGGCAGTGGACCAGAATTGCCAACCCCAATATAAATTGCTTCTATTTTTTACTGTTTTCAGCTATTAGGAAATGGGATTATTGAACAGTACATTTCCAAAGAGCATTCCAGAAAGACTACAGCAGTTTATACTATCATTAGCAATTTATGAGAATGTTCCTTTCACCTCAACACCACTAACACTAAGATTTATCATTTTTAAAAAATCCTGGATGGGGGGCCAGCAAGTGGCATGGTAGTTGAGATGCTGGACTCCCACATGGTCAACTGCAGTTCTAATCCTGGACCCTTTTACTTGAAATTCACACTGGGTTAGGGCCAGCAGTGGCATGGTGATTAAGGTGCTGGACTCCCACATGGCTACCCACAGTTCAAATCCCGAACCTGGTGGTCTGTTTTCTCTGTGTCTCTCTCCAGTCAAATTAAAAAATAGTAATAATAATGAAAAAAAGATTAAATAAATCTTTAAAAAAATAATAAAAAGAAACTCACACTGGGTACATCTGTGTACATGGCCAAAATTCCAGGAGAATAGAGAAGGGATTGCAGTGGGACCAGCAGTTACCATAATGGCTACATTGCTGGACTCCCATGTAGTCAACTGCGGTTGGAGTCCTGGACATGGTGATTTAAACTCACGCCGCGCATGTGTGCATGCACACACAAGATTCTGAGAGGAGAAGGGAGGAGCAGGGATTGAGACATGGCCGTCCCCCCCGGGGGGTGATTTCTCGCTTTCTGTCTGTCTTTTTGGCGAGCACACGCAGCCTATAGCAAAAACCTCTCAAAAAAAAAAAAAGAAAGAAAGAAAGAAAAAAGGGATTGCAGA